TTCTGGCTTAAGACCTGTCTTTTCATCCTAATTTCCCATTGTATGTCAGTGTTTAACACCATATGTTTGCTGCCTCTTGTTTCTTAATTTTCACCTTTCTTCTCCTGCCTAATCTTGGTATTTCAACTAGACTGAGCTAAAATGTGATCCTGTCTATATAGAGGTTCACTGTTAATGTGTATAAGATCTAAGAGGATCTTTAATTCATAGTTAATGAGTGATGCTATATTACATCAAAGTCAGAACACAAAAACTTAAAAGAGTAAAAATTCTTTTTTTCTAACTCTGTTTTGACCATAGACATTCAATTTTGCAATGAGGATTTTCATTCCTGCAGTTTTTCATGTTCTTTATTTACTAGGCAAATGCAATGCACTATGAGTATAATTTCATTTTTGATGTCATGAAAAAATAACAGATATAAATGTTTAAAAAATTCAAATGAAGCAAAAGTTATAAAATGACAAATCATTGGTCATATATTCTACACTGACCTCTACTTCTTGTTACGTTTTTGGGCATTATTTTCCATTGCACAACAAATATTTTTCGCTTTGGTATCCAGCATAAGCAATTGAAATTTCTAGAGCCACTACTCCAAAGGCAATTCTGGGCCTAATTGTGTATCTAAGGCAGAATGCCTTTTAGTCATTTTAAGGGTTTCTTGCTCTATGGGTCCTGGTACTTGAGCTGAATCTTTTTTGTGTGTATGTCAAAAGAATAGAAATATTTTAAATAAACAGCACTACACCTCAAAGAACTAGAAAACAAAGTCAATCCAATCACCAAATTAGTAGACAGAAAGAAATAATTAAGATCAGATCAGAACTAAATGAAATAGAAATCCAAAAAATGATACAAAAGATCAAGGAAACAAAATATTATTTTTTTGAGATGGCAAATAAAAGAGACAAACCATTAGCTAGGCTAACTAAAAAAAATAGAGAGAAGACACAGACCCAAATAATGAAAATTAGAAATGAAAAAGAGACATTATAACTGCTACCACAGAAATACAAAGAATCATTAGAGACTATTATAAATAGCTATATGCCAGCTAATTTGAAAACCTGGAGGACATGGACAAATTTGTGGACACATACAAACTACCAAGACTGAACAAAAGTGACATAGAAAACATGAACAGACCAATAACAAACAATGAGACTGAAGCAGTAATTAGCAGTCTCCCAACAAAGAAAAGCCAAGAACTGGATGGCTTTATTACTGAATTCTACCAAACTTTTAAAGAGGAATTAATACCAATTGTCTTCAAACTATTCCCAAAAAATTGATACAGAGTCCATTCTCCAAAACTCATTCTATAAGGCCAGAATGACCCTGATACCAAAACTAGGCAAAGTTACAACAACAACAAAAAACAAACTATAGGCTGACATCTTTGATGAGCATAGATGCAAAAGTCCTACTAAAATATTAACATACAACAACACATCAAAAAATTATATACCAAAATGTTGTGAGATTCATCACAGTGATGCAAAGGATAGTTCAACATAGGCAAGTCAATAAATGTGATAAAACACACTTACAAAATCAAGGACAAAACCAACATGATTATTTCAACAGATGCAGAAAAAGCATTTGACAAAATACAGCATCCCATCATAATAAAAATTTTCAGCAAAGTAAATATGGAAGGAAAGTATATCAACATAATAAAAGTTGTATATGGCAGACCCACTGCCGTTATCATCCTGATAGTAAGAGTGAATAAGATGGGGATGCCCACTCTCACCACTCCTTTTTATCATAGTAATGGAAGTACTATCCAGAGGAATCAGGCAATAGAAAGAAATGAAGGGCATCCAGATAAGGAAATACAAAGTCAAATTACTCCTTTCTGTAGATGACTTATTCCTATATAGAACAAAGTCTGAAAACTACAAAAAACTTCTTGGAGTTGATAAACAATTTCAGTACAGTTGCAGGACACAAACTCAACACAGAAAAATAAGTAGCATTTTCATACTCCAACAATGAGCTAGCACAAAAAGAAATCAAGAAAGCTAGCCCATTTACAATAGTCACCAAAAAATAAAATACCTAGGAATACATTTAACCACGAAGGTGAAAGATCTCTCCAAAGAGAAATACAAATCATGTTACAAGAAATTAAAGAGGAAACAAAAAGATGAAAAGACATTCGATACTGTTATATTGGAGAGTTAATATTGTGAAGATGTCCATACTACCCAAAGCAATCTACAGATTCAATGCAATCCCTCTCAAAATACTAGTGATGGGCCAACCCCGTGGCTCACTTGGGAGAGTGCGGTGCTGGGAGTGCAGCAGCGCTGGGAGTTCCGAGGCCACAGGTTCGGATCCCATATGGGGATGGCCAGTGCCTCACTGGCTGAGCATGGTGCAGGCGACACCAATCCAAGGGTTACAATCGCCTTCCCTGTCACAAATAAATAAATAAAAGTAACAGTGACATTCTTAACAGAAATAGAAAAAACAATGCGAACATTCACCTGGAATGACAAAAGACCCCAAATACCCAAAGTAATCTTGTGCAAAAAATAAATAAATAAATAAAGCTGGAGGTCTAACACTACTTAACTTCAAAACATACTACAAACTATAGTAACCAAAACAGCATGGTACTAGATAAAAACAGACACTCAGACAAATGCATTACACTAGAAAACCAAGAAATCAGCCCCAAACTAACCAATGTTTGACAAGGCACCAAGAATATACATTAGGGAAAAGACAACCACTTCAATAAATGTTACCATGGAAACTATCCATATGTAGAAGAATGAAGCTAGATCTGTACCTGTCACCATATACCAAAATCAATACAAAATGGATTAAATACTTAAGTATAAAACCTGAGACTATAAAACTTCCCCCCCAAAAAATCATAGGGGAAACACTTCAGGAAATAGGAATGGACAAAAACTATGAATATGACCCCAAAAGTACAGGCAACAAAGGAAAAATAAACAAGTGGGATTATATCAAACTAAATAGCTTCTGCACAGTAAAAGAAACAACTAACAGAGTGAACAGACAACCTACAGAGTGGAAGAAAATATTTGTAAACTATGCATTAGACAAAGATTAATATCCAGAGCATACAGGATCTCAAAGAAATACACAGTGGAAAAACAGCCCAATTAAAAATTGGGCAAAGGAATTGAGTAGACATTTCTGAAAGGAAAATATACAAATGTTCAACAGATACATGAAAAAATTCTCAACATCACTCACCATCAGGAAAATGAAAATCAAAGCCACTTTCAGATATCATCTCACTTCAGTTAGACCAACTGTTATCAAAAAGGCAATAAATAACTAATGCTGATGAGGATGTGGAGAAAGGGAAACTTCCTACACTATTGGTGGGACTGTAAATTGGTGCTGCTATTACAGGAAACAGTATGGAGGTTCCTCAAACAACTAAAGATAGAACTGACATATGATCCAGCAGCTCCACTGTTGGTTATACATCCAAAGGAATGAAAATTATCATGTCAAAGGGATACCTGCACCCCTGTGTTTATCACAGCTCTATTTACAATAGCCAAGAGTTGGAACTGACCTAAGTGTCCACTGATGGACAATTGGGTAAGGAAAATGTACTATATAAACATAATGGAATACTACTCTTCCAGGGAAAGGAATGAAATATTGCCATTCACAGCAACATAGATGAACTTAGAGAAAATCATGTTAAGTGATATAAGCCAGGCACAGAAAGAGAAATACCACATGTTATCACTTATAAGTGGGAACTATGAAATAAACAAATACATAAAAAAGAAAGAACGGTACAACAATCACAATAATATATTAAGCTTTCAAAAGGAAAGAACAGAACTGAGGTTACCAGAGGTGGGAAAGGGGAAGGGGGGAAGGGGGCAGTTAATAGAGGAATTGATAAAGGGACACAAAAAATAATCACATTGTATAATGTTGAATATAGTATTTATCCTCATATGAGCATAACATATTGCACTTAGGTATTGATACATTAACTCATCAAAAAAATTATACACCATGAAAAAGTGGGATTCCATACAGATATGTACAATAAGCTATGTTACAAACATACAAAAATAAATAAATTAAGTTAAAAAAATAAAGTAAAAACAGGCTATTCATGCAGGGGTAATTGTTATCACCAATTTGGATTAGAATTCTCAATAAGAAAGGATTCTTATCAGAGTTTTTATTTCCTTACTTGCAGAACATATTTTCTAAGTGTAGAAGTGATGGACTTGTTCATTTGCAAACAGTTGTTGTTCTTCTCAATCAAACTCCTAAACTTAACTTAGGATCTGTCTCTTTCAAATAACATCATTTAAAGGTAATGCTAAAATAAGTGTGTGATATTGTTGATACGTACATGTGCATCTCACACCCCAAATGAGCGTAAAAATTACTCAGGGAATTTGTACTGAGAAAATAATGGCAAAACAATTTAAGAGATGGATTTTATGAAGGAAAGAAAGATGGATTGAGCTTGGTAAGGTTCTTCAACAATATGTGTGAATCAGAGACTGTAACAAGACAGAGATATATTCTTGACTTGAAAATGGAAAACTATTGAGAGGTGACTGGTTGCTGATATGGTGGGACTAATCTATCATTTGCTATTTAACTGGAGAGAAAAAAATTAGCATTAAATTCTTCAGAAGTTTGAGCTGTAGTCAAATTCCTGGTTATTTACACTTACATATTACTTTTCTTTTACTGTCCCCAAATCCTCTCTCCCTCCCTCATTTCCCACATCCCATTCTTCTTTCTTTTCTTTCCTTCCTTCCTACATTCCTTTTATCTTCCTTCATTATTCCTTTAACTTCCTCTTTCTTTTAACATATAGTCATGATAAATATTCTGAAAGACCTAAATTATTTTTTCCTTCATAGCTTATCAGGAAATTAGTGATACATTTGTTTTGTTTTGTTTTTCTCAGCAAACATGTACGCCAATTCCCTTCACCCAAATTTCTTCATTTGCTTTAGGAAGATCCACTACTTTATGTGAGACTATGGGGAAAGCAGAAATTTGGCTAATTCGAACATACTGGGATTTTGAATTTCCTCGTCCATACTTACCGAATTTTGAATTTGTTGGAGGACTGCACTGCAAACCTGCCAAACCTTTACCTAAGGTAGGTCTTTGACATTCAAGGATCTTATGCACCTAATACTAAATTACCTGATTTTCCTTTAAAATTTATAGTCTCAAAGACAGACTAATGCTGTTGAATATTTTCAATTTGCCATTTCAAATTTATTTTCCTTACCATAGGATGTCTATTCTAAGTGATATTAGGTGTTGTAGACTTTACACTGAGATTTTAAGCTGAAAAATTAAATGCTTAAAGTGGTATGTTAAAGATATCAGTGTGTGTATCACATGGATACTAGATCGAAGGCACAGAAAACCAGAGCCATAGAAATCACTGAGACTGCTATAGTTTTTCCAAACAGGCCTCATAGAGTCATAAACAGGGACATTTATCAAAGTGATTCAGAGATATAACACTTATGAGACAGTGCTTTTCTGTTTTCATGATGTATAAACTTCATGGGTGAATTCTTTAGGATTTGGTAAGAAGTAAGGGTTGAGGAAAGATAGAATCATGTTGGGCTCCTCCATTTTAATCTTGGGGGTTTCTTGGATAGTGGTGATTTTTACTGATATGAAAAAAAATGGTTGAAAAATTCCTTTGAGTTGATGATGATGAGTTTAATTTTTGACCTATTCATTTTGTGGAACTGTAGGAATTTTCAGGTCATTTCTAGAAATCATTTAGGTAGTACAATGTCTCAGTCTCAGCAGAGAGCATTGGAAACCGATTGGGGGTCATCAACATAAAGGAGAAATCATAAAACTAAGAGACTCAAATGTTATATTGGTTCTTTATGAACTTGATGTCAGATTTTTTTTGAAGTGAAAAAGAAAATTGTATACCATATTCCAAAGTCTTCAAAGAAGAGATGTGGAGGTGCCAGAAATGTTGCACATAAAAAGTATTGAGAAGCAAAAGAGAGTAATAGAAAAACATGGTAAGAATGTTATATTTAACTCCTCAATAGTGAGGAGAGAGACAATCATTAATCTGGTTTGTATACAGATGAGCATAATTTCTTTAGAAGGTTGCAAGTTAACTGGTATTTCCAGGAGAGTTCTTAATTTCTATTTAAGATGAGAGGTATATTTTAGTTAAAATTTTCATTTCAGAATTCTGAATATGCTTTTCTTGCCAGTCAAGTTACAGCTGCAGGCAAGCTTTACTGAGTGATGTTATTACAAGAGAAAATGTACAAATATGTAAATAAAATTACAGAAAGAAATTTGACATATCCATGGCTCACTAGATAATGTTTGATGCCACACTTGTATTTCACCTCCCAATTCCACTTTTCGTACACATATATAATTTCATAAAAACCACTCAAACATGTTTTTCAAGAGACGGAAATTATTCAATTCCAAACTGATCTATTGAAACAGATTTTGGGCATCATAAATACCACTCACATATTATATGTCTGATGAAATAATTATGCCAATCAGTGGATACACAGAATGAAAATGCAATAGAAGACAGTCAAATCCATAATCCAAAGTGCATATGTGTGTGCGTGTGTATGTGTATGTTTTATTTTATTCAGTCAACATCTATTCAGTAGGTAAGTCAAAATGATGAAAAACCAATTCCTTTGACTTCAGAGAGATTCTTCTGAGAGTATCTAGGCTGAAAATAACAGTCTATTTTTATTTAAGACATATTCCTCCCATAACAATTTTTCTAGCCATAAGTTGAGAAATACAGTAATTCCAAAGCAAGTACAAATAATTACACAGGAAATGCAGGACATATCTCCAGAAAGCATCCTTCACATAGATTATTATGTGAAAGGCCTCAATCACAGAATGTTCAGTGCCCAGTTTGTAAAATTGTAAGTGATGACCCAGTGTATTAGACCATTTCTGTTGCTTATAACAAAATATCTAGAACTGGGTAATTTGTAAGAAAATGGCGTTTATGCCTTACAATTTCAGAGTCTGGGAAGTTCAAAATCCAGGGAAAACTTCTGGTAAGGGCCTTCTTTGGTGGTGGCTTTACAGCAATGCAGGGATCTCACATGGCAGAAAATGGCAGAGCAGAGAGAGAAAGAGACAGCTCTTCATGGGCTCTCTTTTAAAGCCCTCAGACCATGCCATGACCACCATTGAAGCATCTGCTTAATCATCTCTTCAAGGCCCTGCCTTTCAATTACCATAATAGGATTTCCCACTCTTAACAGTTATAGTGGGAATTAAGTTTGGGGGAGACATTCTGCCGGGGACCAGCCCCAGCACAAAGATTGTAGGGTCCCCACTGGTAAAAAACCCCCAAAAGGGAGGAAAGGCAGCGTTGGCGATGGAATGGACAGCAAACACACAGACTCAAGAGATCTGCTGAATGCTGACATTTTATTGAAGCATGTACACACTTTTTATACCTTTTCTTGGAGGCAACATAATCATTGAAATAATCATTGAACAATATCATAATATTTTTTATGAGTGACATGTGTTCTAAGAAAAATAACATTACAGTTTGTTTCCATGATTACAATGTTTTTTCTTTGAACAAGAACGTTACAACCCACTGGTCCCAAATAATCATCAATTGTTGATGATTGAACTCTGTATGACATTATTGAATTATAATCCAAACTTGTATTTTAATCAAAGGGTATAAGCAGGAAGTCAAAGTTCCCTTCACCAGTTATTGTTTAACCATGTTGCCTAGCAGCTTTTGGGTAAATTTTCAATAACATTTTCATTATGTTTACTAATTGCACTAAAAACAATCCTTCCAGGAAGCAGACAAAGTAAATGTGTACATATGTCCATTGTCCCCTTCTGGTCCTAGCTACCACAAACCATCTCCTGGGAACCCATGACCATAACTCTCAGGAGTGTCATTAATATGATTAAGCACTCTGGTATGATTCTCAGTCTCACTCCCAATCCCCCCAGAGCGATAATTATGAGGCAGTAAGAAATAGAATATAATAAGACAAAGCAAGCATATGGAACTCCAAAAGAAAGGGGGGTAGAATGGCAGCACCTCCTCCCACGATGAGGCCTTGCAAAACGTCGTGTCAAATCAGAGGATCTTTGTCAAACTCTGGCTTTTTCGATTTGGTGCTCCCCTGCAACTTTCAATCCAAGGCACCCAGAAAATTTTGTTTGCAGAGTAATTTATATTTTACTTCTTGTCTGAGGCTCAAATTAAGGCCATACAGCTAGTGGAACACTCATGTGGGAGTTTATACATCAGGAAGGCAGTGAAGCACTGTCTCATAAATGTCATTATGAGTATAGCAGGAGATTAACTTCTAAAACATGTTACTATATATCACGTTTCTAACAAATTTCCCCTTAGCCCTATTAATTAGGGAAGGCATAAACTTGAGAAAATGAATGTAAATGCTTGTCTAACAGGAACAGATGGGTCAATTTACTAATAATTTATTGGATATAATTGGCATGCTAATAATTTTAAAGCCTAGCTCTGGACCCTTCCTTGGAATATTTTCACAAGTTTGCAAACCACTCTGATGTTTTGTAAGATTAAGCCTTCAGAGTAACAATTCTATCTACCATGAGAAGAGCTGTGCTGTATTGCCTGTTCATTTCCATGATGGTTTGGTTCCATGTTTGTACTTGTAATCACTGATTCTATACTTAAGCCATAACTTTCAGAAATATGTTTTCCTTATAGAGACCAGATGGCTCTACATGTGAGAAGACAAACCAGTTTAACAATGTCTCTGACACTTCTCATGACTTTTTCTATTTAGAAGTGTAGGTGAACTTTTTTTCCTGTGATGCTGCACCTTTGTGATAGAGAGAATATTATATCTGCAGGAAATGGAAGACTTTGTCCAGAGCTCAGGTGAAGATGGTGTTGTGGTGTTTTCTCTGGGGTCCATGGTCAAAAACCTCACAGAAGAAAAGGCTAATCTCATTGCTTCAGCCCTCGCCCAGATTCCACAGAAGGTCAGTACGACCTCCGATCTTGGTGGGCAGCTGTTCCACAGTGGGGTAAGAGTATGCTTATTGGTGTCTTTCCGGATGAACATTGAAACTCATTATACCATGAGCATAACTGTCACCAGCTTTAAATGAAAAATTGTAAGATATTAAAATGGTGCATTTAGGCACATTTGGTCATTTGACTGGTGAGCTTTGGCATTACCATAGAAACAAATGGTTTTTTGTAGTCATGTATTTTTAATATAATAGAGATGAAAACGCTATACCCCCACTAACCTTTTAGTATTTGAGATCTTTTGGCCTGCACTGTCCACTCTCAAAAATTCTGAGATGTCTGAGCTTCAAGGTCCAGGAAAAGAAAACGTTTACACAGAACAGAGAGAAATCATGCAAAAAAATGTACTCAAATGTCTTGGCTTTATTAAAGTGTAGTTGGTTTAAAAATAGAAGCCTAGAATCACTTAGTCTTTCTAAATGAAATACTCTGCAGTTAGAAACAATTGAAATTCTAATATTACTGTTAAACAATATGCATTTTCTATTTGGTGACATTCAATTAACAACTTTTTTATGACTAAAATTCCACACTTTTTCTCTTTATATACTCCTTTTCTTGAAATATCCCTCGATTATTTATATTTATATATTGGTTATAGTACATAAAACTCTATAAAGATAAGTATACTAATTAGGTATGTTAAAAATAGGATTTTTATTTTTAAGCTTGTCTGTTAAAAAGTTTGCCAACTCTTAGTATTTAATCTAAAATTTTCCTTATTTCCCCAAAAGAAAAAAATGTAAAAATGGTTAAAATATTAAAATACTTCAGTGAAAAATGGAATGTAGGCATACCCCTTATCTAATCTTCCCTCAAAAAAATAAAAGAAAGGAAGAAGAGAAGGAGGAAAGGAAGGAAGAAAAGAGAGAGGAAACGCATGGAAGAAAGAAAGAAGGATAAGAAGGAAGGAAGGAAGGAAACAGTGGGAATAAAAAGATAACCAATCATCCAAAAACCAGACCACAAAATCTAAAGCAAATTTTATTTTTGAAAAACACCACATTTGAAACATGACACCTAGGATCTCTGAATAACATTACAAAAGTAAATTTATGTAATATTCATGTATGTCTTGAAGATTTTTAATCCCTATCTTCTCATTGATTAAACTAGTCCTATATTTCTTCTATTTCTTACAGTGTCACTCCTAAAATATTTTCACTGATACATATAAAAATAATAATTCTATACTTTTTAATTATTTTAAAAAATAATTAATTAATTTTAATTGACATATATTGATTGTACATATTTATGAGGTTCAAAACATCTATACAATGTGTGATGATTAAATTAGGATAATTGGCATGTTTGTCATTGCAAAATTTTATAATTTCTTTTCCATGAGAACATTGAGCTCCTCACTTCTAGCCAACTGGGAACAAACAACTTATTTTTAATTATAAATGGCTAGAACTACTATAGACAACTACAGCTTACCTGTCCTATTTAGGTGAGATTTAGTATCTGTTAACCAACCCCTCCCAATTCCCATCCCTCCTTTCCAGTTTCCAGTAACCACAGTCTACTCTCTACTCCTATAAGTTCAACTATTTTTTCTTTATCTCCCACATGTGAGTGAGATCATGTGGTATTTATCTTTCTGTGCCTCACTTATTTCACTTAACATAATGCCTTTCAGGCTCATCCATGTTGCCACAAATGACATAATTTTATTCTTTTTTATAGCTGAGTAGAACTACATTGTCTATATATGCCACATTTTCTTTATCCATTCATCTGTTGATGGAAACCTACGTTGATTCCATATCTTAGCTATTGTGAATAGTGTTGCAATAAACATGTGGGTGCCAATATCTCTTCAGTGTTCTAACATCCTTCCTTGTGGATAAATACCCAGCAGAGGTGTTGCTGGATCATATCATAATTCTGTTTTTTGTTTTTTTAAGAAACATTCATACAGTTTTCTATAATTAGGTTACTAAATTACATTCCCAACAACAGTGTAAAGCAGTTCCCCTTTCTCCACATCCTCACCAGCATTAGTTATTTTTTGTCTGTTGATAATAGCCATTCTAACTGGAGTGAGATGATGTCCTGCATTTGATTTGCATTTCCCTGATAATGGGTGATATTAAACATTTTTTTTTTCATATAACCTGTTGTCCACTTGTATGTCTTCTTTTGAGAAATGTCTATTAAGGTCATTAACCCATTTTAAAATGGGATTTATTTTATTATATTTTATTTTATTGCTGTTGAGTTGTTTAAATTTCTCATATATTCTAGATATTAATCTCTTGTCAGATGAATAGTTTACAACCATTTTTTCTCATTCGGCCAGTTGTCACTTTGCTGGGTGATTGTTTCCTTAGCTGTGGAGAAGCTTTGATTTTGATGTATCCTACTTATCTATGTTCAGTTTTGTTGCCTATACTTTACAAGGCTTCTCCATAAAATGTTTGCCCAGACCAATGTCTTGGAGTGTTTTACCTATGTTTACATCTATTTTTATAGTTTGAGGTCTTACATTTAAGTCTTTAATCCATTTTGAGTTGATTTTGCTATATGGTGGATAGATAGATGTCTAGTTTCTCTTCTGGGTATGGATATCCAGTTCTCCCAGCACCATTTATGAAAGGGGTTATCTTTTCCCTGATATATACTCTTGGCATCTTTGCCAAAAACCAGTTGGCTACAGATACCTGGATTTATTTCTTGGTTCTCTATTCTGTTCCATTTGTCCATGTGTCTATTTTTATGTCAATACCATGCTGTTTTGACTACCACAATTTGTAGTATATTTTGAAGTCAGGTGGTTTAATGCCTCCAGCTTTGTTCATTTTGATGAGGATTGGTTTGGTTATTTAGGATCTTCTGTGGTTTCTTATGAATTAATACTTTTTTTTTTCTATTTCTGTGAAGAATGTCTTTGCTGTTCTGTGAAGGATTGTATTGAATCTGTAGATTGCTTAGAGTATTGTGGTCATTTTGACAGTATTAAAATTTCCAATCCATGAAACATGGATATCTTTCCATTTTTTTGTGTCCTCTTTAATTTCTTTTGTCAATGCTTTGAAGTTTTTATTGCAGAGATTGTTCATCTCATTGGTTAAATTTATTCCTAGGTATTTTAACTTTCTTGAAGGTGTTGTAAATGGGATTGCTTTTGTGATTTTTTTTTTCCCACCTATTCATTGTTAGTGTATAGAAACACTACCAATTTTTACTAATTGAGTTTTTATCCTGTAACTTTACTGAGTTCATTAAAGTTCTAAGAGTTTTTTGGTGGAGTCTTTAGGTTTTTCTCATATAAGATCATGTCATCTGCAAACAGGAAAAATTTGACTTTCTCTCTTTTCATTTGGATGCCCTTTCTTTCTTTCTCTTGCCTAATTTCCCTGGCTAGAATTTCTAGCACTATATTAAATAAGAGTGGGCATCACTTTCATGTTCCCATTCTCAGAGGAAAAGCTTTCAACTTTCCCCCTTTCAGTATGGTGTTAGCTGTGAATTTAGCATATATGGCCTTTATTGTGTTGAGATACATTTCTTCTATATCTAATTTGTCAATTTTTTTCATTCTGAAGCAATGTTGAATTTTATCAAATGCTTTTTCTGCATCTACTGAGATAATCATATGGTGTTTTGTCTTTTATTTTGTGGATAGAATGCATTACCATTACAAGGATGTTCAATGTTGAACTGTCCTTGCATCCCTGGGATAAATCCCACTTGATCATGGTCTTTAATCTTTTTGATGCGCTGTTGACCTTGTAATAGACTATTAGTGCAAACCTTTGCAAAGAGGTAGATGTAAACAGTTTTATCTCAGTGTTGGCAAGCTACCCCTGTGTACCCCCTATCGAGTATTACCTAAGGTAGGGTGGCTATGTGACTTCCATTTAATTCTACAGCCTTAAGATAACCTCATTGTGTGTTTTTACTTGCAAAATTAAAGCCTCATCTTCACAGGTTTTATGGAGATACAAAGGAAAAAAACCAGCCACGTTAGGAACAAATACTCGGCTCTACGATTGGATACCCCAGAATGATATTCTTGGTAAGACTTTGGGGGGATAAAAGCAGTATGGTTGGATGACAGACAAGTTTTGTGACTATTTAATAGCCAATAAACTCAACAAATATTTAATAAGTTAAAATTTTCACATTTGACTTCCAGTTTTAAGGCAGATATATTTAAATAATTGTCCATTAATTTTTTAGACTCATGCTTCCTCTGGTTCACAAAACAGCATCTCAAGTTAAGACTTTCATCACACTTCAAGTTTCAGTCTCAGTTCAGATATTGCCTCTCCAGTAATGTGTTCCCAGAAAATGCAGAGGTAGTTCATACCTCCTTTTCAGGGGATCACAGTTTTATTAGATAGTGGTTTCCCCATGTGATCAGCTTTGCAGAAGATGCTGCTTTCTTCAGTGAGTTACACATTAGCTTTTTTCTCTTTTGTCTCTGAAATTCTGCGAATATGTTATAATGAAATTTACACCCCGTTGTCACCCTGTCTCCAAACTAGGTCATCCAAAAACTAAAGCTTTTATCACTCATGGTGGAACTAATGGGATCTATGAAGCTATTTATCATGGGGTCCCTATGGTGGGAATTCCCATGTTTGCTGATCAGCCTGATAACATAGCTCACATGAAGGCCAAAGGAGCAGCTGTGGAGTTGAACATGAACACAATGACAAGGGAAGATTTGTTCAATGCCCTGAGAGCAGTCATTAATGAACCTTCGTAAGTACTACTGCTTTTAAAGGCTTACCTACCATTGATTATGTTCTCCATCATAACAGGAAAAGTTCAGTGTTTCATACCTTTGTAATTGGTTTATTATCAAATAACAACCATAATATGACCAACATGAAACCATTCATTTCATTTCTCAAACTGATGTAATGATTAGCTGAAGTTGGAAAAAATAAGACTAAGACTTTAAATATTCTATCAATATATTTTCAAAATAAACAACATTATGATTATATAAATTCTCACATTCTTTCTAAATAACTTGCCAATTTTATAAATAAATAAATATGTAAATATTATAAACCATTCAGTAGGTCCAAAATAGAAGTGCTAATTTGCCCAACATTAATCATTCAGGAATAAATATTAATATTGAATGTATGCCATTCATTAGTAAATGTATGCATACATAGAGGAAAGATGTTGGGTAGTGAATAATTTTATAAATATTGATTGGTACTATAGGTGAATTTTTCAATACAATTTTAAATATAACTTAATCTGATTTAATTAAAGGATAAATTGAATGAAACTATATGCAATATTGAACTTAGGCATATATCCTCATGTTTTCATTTTTGCTCTGAAAGATCTCACCAAGGATAAGAATTAATATAATTTATATGTAAAATTTTAATTATATACATATATATATAATTTTGATTCTTTATTTTTAATGATGTATTTTAATATTAGCCACTAAGATTTGAACTCCTGCTTTGGAAGTAATCTCATCCCCAATTTCTCTTATGTATATTGTAATTTTAACATATCAATATTTATATCATTTATTTTTATCACATTAATTTAGTCTTCTTGATGTATTTAAAGGGAATCATTTTTCACCATTGAATCAGAGATTCTTTATTAAAAAATATTTTATTTTATTTTATTTTATTTTATTTTATTTTTATTTTTTTATTTTTTTATTTTTTTTTTTAATATTTTATTTTGTCAATATACAATGTATATGATTATTATGGCCCACCACCGACACTTTATTTCTTGGCTGTCTCATATTGAATTTTATTTCAGTAAGACTCTTGGATATTGAATTCCCTGAGATTATGTTTAGTAATATTTGCTCATTGCTTTGCTATGAGAATGACTCCTAATATGCTTAGTTCTCAATTTGTTTCCTTCAGGCCTATGAAAATATTGCTCATAGTCTTCTACCATTAAATGCTGCTGTAGGATTTCTGAGTCCTATCTAATCAGTTTTTTCTTATTAGAATTTTCTTTTTCTTCTTTTTTTAAAATTTATTTTATTTATTGGATCTAAATCAATTATACATATTTTTTGTGGTTGAATATTGAGATATGTTGATCAAATCAATACTACTAGCATACATATTTTTACAAATCGTAATTATTCCTTATGCTCCTTGTCCAATCTCTCCTCTTCCCCCATTCCCTTTCACTCCCCCCTCTAATTACCCTAGATTTCTTCTGTCCTCCTGAAAGAATAATGGTTACTCTGTTAATTTGCTGCCTAGATGATCTGTGTCCAATGCTGAGAGATGTGATCAGGTCCCCTAATATTATCATAGAGCAGATGCTTCTTCTGTCACTCTGAAATGGGTATTGTGGAAAGAGAAATCCTCTTCTTTTCTTTGTCTCTGCTGGTGACTCTCCTTGTGTGAATGCACTCCAGTGGCTGGCACACCATCTGCGTGGTGGTTGTGGCATCTAGCTGCTTTCGCAGCAGCCATGGTTATTGTGGTGGCTGTGGTGGGCCACCCACATGGAGGTGCTGTTTTTAGTATGCTCCTTGGCACTGGTGGTATGCCTGGTTTTAGGGTGTGTCTGGACCCCTTCTCCATACCTCTGGTCCCTGGGTAGGCCCCAAGGCGCTGGCACCATGTACCCAGTTGCAGGAGGAGTGTCCAGTCCCCTTCTCCATGCCTCAGGTCCCCAGGCAGGACCAAAGGATCTGGCTTGGTGTGCCTGGTTGTGGGAGGCGGTTTCAGTCCCCTTCTCCATGCCCCAGGTCCCTCGGTGGGCCCCGAGGCCCTGGAGCAGTGTGCCTGGTTGAGGAAGGATGGTTCAGTCCCCTAAGAATTTTCTTTTCAGACTAGAAAAAAAAAAAAATCACTATTTTTTTTTAATTCAGAAACTTGATTATCATGTATCCTTATAAATTATTTTATACATTTTCACTCAAATAAACTGTGTCCTTAAAATACTGTTAAGCTAGAATAAAAAAATAAATTATTCAGTTTTTGTTTTTGAAGATTAATTTTTTGTTTATTATTTATTAGAATGCTTATTAGTTCCATTTCTTATCTCTACTTCGGGAAGATTAGTTGTCGGTGCTACCTCTGTTTGTATATTTTTGATTTGTTCTTTTTCTGTATTATTTTCTAATTGTTCCAATCAATTTTTATTATTAATTCAGTGACATTGCCTCAGATAGTCCACAAATTAGCAAGTTCACTTTTTCACCATAAGCATAGTTTGCTGTTTCTAATTTCTTTATTAATCCTTTAAATTGTTATTTTTAAATTCCTTTATTTAAATTCCTTACCAATCCTCTTTGTCACTCCTCTTTCTTTATAATCTAAATTTTTATCTTTTATTCATTACCCTCACATTCTTATTATACTTCAACTCTTCTCTTCTTTGGACATTGATCATGCCTGATTGCATTCTTGGTCTTTATTTATTAATTTTTATTTATTTATTTATTTATTTATTTATTTATTTATTTATTTATTTATTTATTTTTGCCGTCACATTATGAGTAAGTGGTTTCCATGACATGCTTTTCCTCTTGCTCTCTCAGTATTTTCTCAGAATTTATATAGCTGCCTTATACTTAAACTTGTTTCCATATCATATCAGATTCAATTATTTTTATGTAAAGCCAAACTTGAAGGCTGGAATTCAGGAAGTAGAAGAGAAAGTAAACTCAGGAGGAATTTGGTGCAACTATTTTTTTAGTGGAACTAGTCTGCTTAAAACCATCTGTTCAAAGTTGTGCCAGGGTTTCTAGACAAATTGGGCAGTGTATTTATTTCCAAATGGGAAGACATTAAGCACTTGGCTTAGATACATACTAAACAGTCAACCCTGGTTGTCTATTTTCACTTCCCATCCACATTCTGATCAATTGACTTTTACTAATATATACACATCATATAAGTCCTCATCTTCAGGATATTACAAAAATCATAATTCAGAAGCTGGGTAGGGGGTTAAGAGCTTTAGCAAGGCTCAGTATCACCTTTTGTTTTTCATAAATGTTGACCTTAATGTTTAATTGGTTAGACTATTACCAGGTTGTTAGTAATTTGGTTCATTTTATTAAATATCAAAGTAGGTAAGTTCTGTGATTCTTTTTAACTCTAGTACATAGAATGTTTCTTAAATTTTATTATTGATTTAAAACTATTAATACAAACAGACAAATTATCCAAGTAAATACCTAAAAATTATTTAATTTAAAATGCCTTCACATTAACCCTAAACCTAATACTACCCATGAAATTATATGGGAAGACAAGAGTGTAGTGTACAATATACACATATATATGGATATATTTGTACTCTCTTCTGTTATCCTTTAAAGCAATTAAGAAACACAATATATTACATTTGAACACATAAATCATAGTAATTTGAATATTTCAGAATAACATATCAGTTATAAATCATTAGTGTATAACAAAATATGAAATAATGAATTTATAAGCATGGTCTTGATTATACTATTTCATTATAGGAAAGCATACTTTTTTTGGGGGGGATTCACATGTACAAATTTTTCTACCAAATATATGTGTATTTCAAATTTTAAATCTCTGTATAAATAGAGAAAACTAGAACAAAAATATGATTTGGAGAAAAAGGCTTTTATCACCACTTCAGTTTGCCTAAAGTGTACTAGCGTGAACCATGTAAAATTGCTGTTTTGACCCTACCTATGGTTCAATCCAGTTGGAAGACAATATAACTGTTCTTCACTACGCACAAAAAAAGAACACATGTAAGTAATCTCCTGCTGCTAGATGGAGTGTACCATGTTGATGTGTGAATGATAATTACATCCTTCCTTCCCCAGTCCTCACAATGTCTTGCCTGCACCAGGATATCACTTTATAAAGCGCTATATTCTGTTATCTCCATTAATCCAGTCTGAAACTTTTACTCACGACACAAGGAAACTTCAAATGAAGACATAACGTGCCTTTTAAGTACATAGGCCTCTATCAAGAGCTGTCTGAGAAACCATGAGAGATGTCAACTCTGTAACTGGTGCTGTTGTGATGCCAAATTGATTAGGGACTCTAATTTCAGGGAGATATTCCTATTAGCTTAAAATCCATGTACTTTAATGTGCCATTTCTTAAGTTACCCACATATTTTCATTCAATCTTGATATTGCCAATCGAGACAGTCATTTTAAGCACAGACATACAAATGTTTGCAAGGGAATACTTAAAACAGTGTCAAGTTCACACAGTATCAAAATTATGTCTTGGAAAAATTATGCCATACATTCACAACTGGCTTATTCTGTTTTTCCTATACCTGCATTTATCCACATTGTGTTCAGAATATATTTCTTCCACACTCTTATATCTTATACAACTAGCAAAGTTTATACAAAAATTAAACTTTTCCTCAACATATCTATGGGCTTTAACTTGAATAATAAGTAACGTGTATCAAACACTTACCTTGAACAAAAATGAAAACTAAATCTCTCTAATTTTCCTCATAGTTATAAAGAGAATGCTATGAGATTATCAAGAATTCATCATGATCAGCCCATGAAGCCTCTAGATCGAGCAATCTTCTGGATTGAGTTTGTCATGCGCAACAAAGGAGCTAAACACCTTCGGGTTGCAGCCCACGACCTCAACTGGGTCCAGTACCACTCTCTGGATGTGATTGGGTTCCTGCTAGCCTGTGTGGCAACCGCTGTGTTCCTAGTCACAAAATGTTGTTTGCTTTCTTATAAAAAATTTGGTAAAACAGGAAAGAAGAAAAAGAGGGAATAGATCAAAAAATAAAATAAAAATAAAGAGGGAATAAGTCTTTCTATGTCTGGCAAAGTCTTGAATGGGACAATCATGTTAATTCCCTCGACAAGGAGATTAACAAAAACACGTTTCCACCCTGCTTTCAAATTTTCCATTCCTGTTCTTTAGCCTAGAGATAAAACCTAAACTTCAACATGGTCATTAGCTAGTGAATGTGACCTTTTCTTTCTTTGTCTTTTCCCAGGTGGCTTTACCCTCCTCCTTTCACTTTCCTGACACAGGGACACTATTAATTTAAAACATATTCTATTCATAATACTAACATTTAAAATGTTTTAACCTTAAATGATATGCTGACTAACAATATGCTGAATCCTGGGGAATGCAAAAAGTGTCAATGGAATTTGATGGATGTAGGGAATTCAAAAGAGTCAAATTCAAGTACTCATAGACCATACAAATCAGGGAACCACCACAGGAGATTAGTGTGTATAAGAGTAATGATTTCTTTTTAATAAAAATAAATTCTTCTGGCTTAATGAGCAAAGAATAGTTATGATTTGTAATAATGCATATGCTAAAAGTATTGATTTGATCATCACATGTTTACACAGGTATTGGTAGTCAATGCTGTACCCCCAAAATATGTAAAATCAATTAAGCTTCAATAATAAAAAAAGAAATAAACACTTCTGTTTGCCCAGTGTTATGGGGATTAGAGCATGAATATATAACTGTGGGGGGTTCATTACAGTAGGAAATGTCTATAAAATTTCCATTGAGCACATCTTGATAATCATGGTCTACTTTCTTGCCTTTCTCCAACAAATATTCTCATGTATCCTCTAGTGGTAGGGGTAGTGCACTGTCTTGAAAAAAATAAGAGATTGGTTGTGTCATTTTTTTCTCAAGGAGAACATCAGCATTATGTTAAAGGTGAACAGATCATTATTAGAGGAAATAACAATAAGAAACAGAAATAAATAGAATTTTATGAAAATTTTAGAGTACAATTGATAACTTTAAATGTTATTTTTGAAAATCACTAATGCTCATAATCTATAATCACTATTTATAATCAAAATTTTAACTTTCTGCCAAAAAATAAAACATTTACTTGAAATTTGAGAACATTGTATTATTTTCCAGACTTTATCTTTTACAAATTTCAATTCACTGATTAATTGTTATGCTAAGCATGTACTAGCCTACCAGCTTGGCCAAGAATATGGTATAGCAAATATTTATCAATTCAAAGCATTAATTAAGGACAAATATTCATATTTGAATTAAAATAAAAATTGCCTTAATTTAACAACTATATTAAATATTGCACTTTCATAACCCCTTATAAACATACTGACATGTCTAACTAAAGCTTTAATTTCAGCATTTGATATACAATTGAGTAGATAAATGACATCCACTGCCTTAGTGAAATATTTAAAATTCTTATTCATTTCTGGTAGAGTTAGGTTTTCTATATATATAGAATCACGTCATCTGCAAACAGAGACAATTTCACTTCCTCTTTTCTTATTTGGATGCCCTTCCTTTCTTTCTTTCGTCTAATTGCTCTGACAAGTACTTCGAATACTATGCTAAATAGGAGTGGTGAGAGCAGGCATCCTTGTCTTGTTCCTGTTAATAAAGGAACAGCTTTTAGCTTTTCCCCATTCAGGATGATATTGGCAGTGGATTTATCATATATGGCTTTTATTGTGTTGAGATACCTTCCTTCTATACCTAATTTGTTTTAGGTCTTTATCAAGAAGTAATGTGAAATTTTGTCAAATGCTTTTTCTGCATCTATTGAGATGATCATGTGTTTTTCGTTCTTGATTTTGTTGATGTGGAGTATCGCATTTATTGATTTGCTTATGTTGAACCATCCTTGCATCCCTGGGATGAATTCCACTTGATCACAGTGTATAATCTTTTTGATGTGTTGCTGTATTATGCTTGTGAGTATTTTGTTGAGGATTTTTGCAGCGAAGTTCATCAAGGATATTATCCTGTAGTTTCCTTTTTGTTGTTGTTGTTGTATCTTTGTCTAGTTTTGGTATCAGGGTGATACCAGCCTCATAGAATGTGTTTGGGAGAGTGGCCTCTGTTTCAATGTTTTGGAATAGTTTGAAAAGAATTGGTATTAATTCCTCCTTAAAAATTCGGTAGAAATCAGCAGTGAAGTGATACAGTCCTGGGTTTTTCTTTGTTGGAAGATTTCTGATTATTACTTCAGTCTTGTTGCTCACTGTTGTTCTGTCCAGTTTTTCTATGTCTTCTTGGTTCAGTCTTGGTAGGTTGTATGCATCTAGAAATGTATCCATTTCCTCCAGGTTTTCAAATTTGTTGGTGTATAGTTGTTCATAGTAATCTCTAATGATTCTTTGCATTTCTGTGATATTAGTAGTGATGTCTCCTTTCATTTCTAACTTTGTTATTTGGTTCTTCTCTTCTTTTTTTTTTTTAGTCAGTCTGGCTTATGGTTTGTATATTGAAAATGAGTTCTACATAAAGAATAACTATGTGATGCAAACACATATTTCTTAAATATGTATATTACTGAAAGTGCAAATAAATTGCTAAAAAAATTGTGAAGGTTGAAAATGTATTTGTTAAGTGTTAAAAATTGTGTTAAAAGGTAATTCATAATAATATATTTTGAGTTTCACAATTGTATTATATTTTAAGAAGAGCTGTTTATGTTTGCTATCTACCCAGCTTGTTTTCTGCAATTAGAATGTCAGCAAATGGCTAAGATGCAGTGAGAGGTGGAAAGGCCATCTCTGGGGCTGAGCATTGCATAGGAAAAGGCACCTTCTTGGTTACTGAGACTGGCCACCCATGGCACATGAAGCTTGATGCCACTCAACAGCCCCTGCTTCCTGGATTTCTCTCCTTTTGCTCTGTGATATTCTGCTCTCTTTTCTTTTGCCTGAATATGATCAGAAGCCAGCTGTAGCTGGCAAAAATTCCCAGGTGATACAAACTGCATTAGTGTAACTGCTGTATGTATCTAAATTGAAAAACAAATGCTGAGAATGGGCTTTCCTTAGCAGTCATTTGTGAAACTGTTCTGATGAGAAAACTTAATCCTAACAAAGTAGAGGCCAGGACACATTAATGACAGTGCTTTTGCACAGCTCTTACATTCTCAGCCCTTAATGTTGCTCAAGAGGCTGAAGTTGATAATTCAATATACTTTCTTCATGAGCATTCCATGCATTAACCTCTGGCAGCATCCTCTCTCATCAGGGTTCTTTAACTGGTAGAATGATCCAGAATTCATCAACTCCATATCAATTTGGTAACATGTCCTGTCTTAATGATTTCTCACAGCTTTTCACTGACTTTTATTATTGAACGTTGGAGAATTAAGATATATCCAAGTAGTCTGCTGGATACTAGACATAATTTTGCCTGCACTTATTGTGTTTCAGCAAACTAGTTTATCTTCAGTATTTTGAAGAAAATCACCATAAATAACAGCAACACTTTCTCTAACTGAATTCAGAAGCAGAGGAGCTCAAAATAATCATAGAACATTCACAGCTTTCAGTCTTCCAAATTACAGTTGTATCTCTGAGTGGAATTATTCCTCTCTTGAGAACTATAACCTCCAAACTGCCTAACTGTGATAATGAAAATAGACTTGTCTAAGGGAATGAGTAATAAATACTTGTTAGAAGATCCACTCCCACTTTTAACCCCTTGAGTTCTGGACCCATGCATTCAAACTAAAATAAAGAAGGCATCATATATCAGGCCATTATTTAAAGCATATACAACATCCTTTAAGACAGCATCTCATATCCTTAAGGTATTAAAGAGCTGTCCTTAGGTAATGGGAACTCAGTAAAATCAGTAAATTTCATGGACATTAGACTTTGTTGCAGATACCACATGGCAAGGAAGACAAGAGCACTTTCATGTCCTTTCCTTATATACCCATGTCTACACTCATGGCAACCCATTAAACCATTAACTCATTACTCCATGAATGGGTTAATCCATTCACGAGGGCATAAGTTGTCACAATCTAATCACCTCTTAAAGTACCCATCTTTGAAGTACCGTAACTGGATTTCTCACTCTACATTTATACTGTTATAATGAGTGTCAAGTTTCAATGAATTTGGGGAGAGCATCAATCCACAGCATCAACATTTCCATTCCTTACAGTTCTCATTCCAAATGGAAGCACTTTCTACTCAGTGGCTAATACTGATACTTTATGATGACCCTGTCTCCACTTGTTTCTTCAGACTTACACTTGCATGCCCACTGGCCTCAAGACCTTTTGGACTCTCCACAAAAGTACTCTCTGAGTCCATCATCAACTTTCAAGGAGACCTCTTCAGAGGCTCCTAACTATACTTTCTACTTCCACATTTGTCCTTCTTGTTCTACAGTCAGCAACTACAGTGATGTTTAACTTTTAAATCAAATTTGTCATGGTTCAGCTTCAAATCCTTTAGTCACAGAGTCCATTTCATTGTCATGTCTCTTAAGGAGCCTCCTGCATGATAGAACTCTGGTCTCCTTGGTCTACCTGGCCCACCACTCTTTCCTCTAGTGCATCATGCTCTTAATATATAGACCCTTCTCTCCAACCAGGAAAAAAAAAAAAAAAAAAAAAAAAAAAAGCTCGCACTCAGAATCTTTTAATATCACTTTCTCTTTCCCTGGAATACCTTTCTTAGCTCTTGTCTTATCCTTCAGATTTCAGCTTGAATTTCATCTTACCTAAAGTAGTTCTTTCCCACCATATATAACTCCCTTCTTAACCCTAACTACTCTGTTTATCTTGCTTATTTTTATCTTAGATATGAATCAATCAATAAATAAAAATAACGGAAGGCAAGGACCTCATTTATCTCGTTTGTCACCATACCCCTGTACCTAATGGCCACATGGGCACATAGAAGGTATCTGATAACCATTAACAGAATTAGTGAATATATAGAGAATACTTACATTTACTAGACAGAGGCTTTCATGTCTAAAAAAGAGAC